TCTAGTTGCAACTAGACTAACATTCTACCTTGCTACTGGATAGTGTGTCTTCAGCCTATAACAAAACAATGAGCAATCAGAATATGTAGTTAGAAAGATCCTTAACATCTTTCCTTACAGATCAATCCCAAGGCGTACCTTTTTATTTTCTAATTGTACTAACTCATGTTGAAAGATAAGGATAGTAATATTTCATCTTTGATGCACGTAATATGGGTATATAGGTGTGACGTCTATCTTATTCTAGAGTGTGCCCATCCAACTTTATTTTACATCCGACACTGTTGAATGGTGACAGTTGCATGTGGCCTATTGGATACGAGGCTGCCCTTTATCCTTCTGTCTTCCTTTAATATTTTAGGTGATATTATTGAGGGGAAAGGTGGACACCCCACATATGTGTGGATAGGAAAGAAAGGAAATGTGTGTTAGGGGGTTCTTGTCCAAAATGCCATTTTATCTTGACCTGGCCTTCGAAACACAGCTTGTAAACAAATATGTATCTTCCCCAGCTTCCAAAAAAATAAATAAGCATGACTTTTAGTCATAATGGCCACTTTTGCATTAATTTACTATTTGAAAGATTCCAGCATTTCCCTCTACATAAACCAATCAAACGAAGAGAGTTGGTCACAGTAGCTTCATTATAGAGGACTTGATGGATGATGCAGTGCAAGCTCTATACATCTCTATCTCTCTGGCAGTCTTTTAAATCGGTTATTTCTTTATTCAAGTATTCTGTGACTTTTTCCTTTTTTTTTCCTTTCCTTTTTTAATTGCTATGTTAAGTGGCTATTGCTGAAATTAGGCATAATATTATTTAGTTCAAATATCATCGAGTAGCTGTAGAACATAATGTCTAAAGTTCTAGACTGAACATTCAAAATTTTTATAGAAACAAAGGTATTTTTTAATAAAGCGCAGCATTATATTGTCTTTCACACACGATGCAACAGAAATGATTTCAGCTGTTATTGATGTTAATTTGCTACACATTAAAAAAAAAAAAAAACTGTACCAAAGACTCTTCCTCTTATTTCATTTTTCAAATTAAATAAAGTGAAATGTAGAAATTCATTTTTGTACTTGTCAGTGGATTGCAAAAATCCAGAAAGATCTATATTTTTGGTTTGCGGATTTTACTTCCCACAACCATATTTTCTTAGGCAGAAGCCCAGTATTTAGTTTTGTGAAAACATGTCGGCTGTCAAGCAATTATTTTGATGTTTCGGTCTGTGCAAAAACAAGGTTCTTTTATGATATTAAATTCCACAATGAATCCTATTCTGTAAAGTAAAGGAGGCATTATGAACTCTGATTACCTTTCTCGCTATGAAAAAAATCTTTGCGTTTTGAGTGACATTAAGATTTAAAGGTCCAGATGCAAGACCAACAAAATAAGAATTATTCAGAAATTTTCATTCATAAGGAAATCAAAGAGTTAAATATCTTTTAGCCATATGCTGTAGGTATGGCACCTAGTGAATTATTGATGGTGCTGCCAGGTATCAGAAAAATAAATTCAAAATATCTAGAGGTGTTTATGACAAATGAACCATTTATGCCTACTTAGCTATTTTATTCTCGCCATTGACTATATATATATATATATATATATACGACTATGTGTTTTTCGTAAGTCACAAAGCTGGCACAAATAATATTTTATTTTAAAAACAGCCTTCTTGATATGTCTCGAAATTTCCTTTCCATTATGTACGATGGAAAGGAAATTGTTTCATTTAAAATACCATTTTAAGAGATATATATATATATATATATCTCTTAAAATGGTATTTTAAATGAAACAAAGCACAGTGCACTATAGGAATAGAAACCTGGCTTTAGCAACTTAACTCTCTTCAGTGAAAAAAAATGATTATTTTGCTTTCAGACTAAGCTATTCGCAATCTCTTTGTGATCTTTTGAGGCAGCTGGTGGGCTGACTCTGCTAAGATATTCAAAATAGACAACTCAATGCTTCGTTCTGTTTATTACATACCTCACAAGATCTCCCAGTTAAATGACAACCATCTAAGCTTCAGGATTTATAATTTTCTACTTTTACCCAATGCTCTAGAACTGAGTGACAAAAGAGAGCTTCTGTTAAAGTAGGTACTCCACTAGAGTCTCTCTTAGAACATGACCTGGTGAGACGAGATGTAATATCCCCTGGTGTACTGCAAAATAAAGATTAAACTGACAGGGAGGTCGGACAACCTTTGGCTTGGGAGTCCATTGCAACTATGTGGCTATTGAGTTAGTAGTGAGAAGAAGCACCTATGGCTACAGTTACAGCTATGAGTCTTTTCCAAGCAAGTCTGCACTGTTTGCGTATCTGGATCCTGCAATATTTGAAAATTCTTCTTGGTATAATTGATTTACTTAAGCCCTGTCATGTTGGGTGGGGAGCACTGATGAAGCACAACTTTCAATTGTTTTCACAGATTATCAGATTAAGGTTGGAAATTTGATGGGTCAGTTTTAAGGCATTTAGGTATGAAGCTTCTCCGGTTTATCTGTGGATATATGTTTTGGGTCATTATGCTGTGAAGGTGAAGTTCTGTCTCAAGCTATGAAATCTTGAGAACTGAACAAGGCTCTTGAATGTGGCTGCATCCACCTTGCCTTAAATCCTGACCAGTTTCTTAGTCCTGCAGATAGAAAAATCCACTCAACATAATTACACTACCATGCTTTTCAATGAGCTAATGCTGTCAGGGTGACTAAGGTTAATGTTGTGTCTCGCAAAGCAAAGTTACATTTTGTTTCATCAGACTAATGGACAGTTTTCCTAATGATTGCTGTGTCTTCTTCATGCCTGTTTTCATAAACTCTAATTCACATTTGATATGTGTATATATATTTTTCGCAAATGGCTTGGACCTCAGCATGTGTCCATGAAGTCCACGAATGTGGAGTGTTTTGGGTTATTGTCAGACAGTTTCACCATCTCAGCTTCAGATCTTCTCATCGCCAACTGCTGACCATACATAATTTTAGTGGCTTCGCTTCGCTAGTCCTGGTGGTGCTGTATTATTTTCTTTTTCTTTTAAAATAGATTTAGCAGTGCTCTGGAGAAAGATAAAGTTTGGGCATTTTTTTCATAACTCTGGTACAACACTGATTGGTGCTTCTCCAGAACGGTATCCTGGAATTGTTTTTAAAACTTTGTGGTTTCCATCATGCTGCTTGTTCAGATATGTTTTCTAACCATCTCTAGGACCTTCTGAACAGCTGGATTTATTTTCAGATCACGTGATACTAACGGCATACTTGTGCACTCCTTCCAGCTAATTATGGCCTTCATTTCATTTAAAAAGCTTATGAAAGAAATATTAAACTGAGGCGTATGTTGCTTCCAAAAGGCCACTGCACCACAGCATATTTAGGATTAACAGCAAAATTGGTGAATATTTACACAGGCTTTAAGTATCTGTTCTTATTTGATTAACTTTTGTGTCACAATAAGAATATTTTTGCCTCTTTAAAATTTTAGGTATGTTTAATAAATTAAATGAAAAAAAACTACAAAAAAAACCCCAAAACATTTTAGTTCTAGGTTATATATCACTACAAACTGCAAAATGTCCAAGGAGGTGAATACGTATGCGAGACACTGTACTTTGAGAGAGTATATACTTTATATTTGAGGTTTTAAAAAATAATATATAATACATATTTTCTTAATATTGAGAAATTCCAAAAATTGGCAGTATAATATGGTCTAAATGTACATCTACTGTATATACTTAAAGAAGCACTATTGGGTCAGGAACACAAACATATATTTCTGACCCTTTAGTGTTAAAATCCCCATCTAGTCTCCTGGCCCTCTCATGCCTCCCTACATATAGTAAAATCTTACTTGTATTCAAGCCTGAAGCTGCTGGCTCTGCCCCTGTCAGTCTCAAATAACAAGCTGTCTGCTGACATCATCAGAAATGTTGTTCTGAGCCAATCACCGTGCTTCACCATAGGATTGGCTGAGACTGGGAAGGAGGCAAATCAGGGGCAGAGCCAGCACAAGTCACACACAGCCATGGCCAATCAGCATCTCCTCATAGAGATGAATTGAATCAATTCATCTCTATGAGGAAAGTTCAGTGTCTGCATGCAGAGGGAGGAGATACTGCATGTTGTGATGCACACTAGGCAAGACTGAGATAGGAAACACCTCTAACAGCCATCTAAGGAGTGGCCAGTGAAGTTATCCCTAGGCTGTAATGTAAACACTGCATTTTCTCTGAAAAGACATTCACTCTAAATTCCAAACAAGTCCCACTTTTACTAAGAAAACCACATTTGTTTGTATATTCATACCAATCAGCAGAACAGGGCTTAGCTAAGCAGGAGCCTGAACTACTTGCAACAAACGTAGATGAATATCCGGTAACAGTGCATTGGGAGGCACACGCTATGATTATTAGTGTATATACACCTAACAGCCATGGGCGTCCGCAGGAATTTTTCCAGGGGGGGGCATAATTGTAATGACATCCATGCTTGGTACCTTTTTGACAGTGTCATGAAAGGGAAGGGTCATAGCCATTATCACATAAAGCCAGGGTGAATAGCGTATTCACAACTATGGTGTCAGGAATATAGGTTTGTATTCCTGTCACTATAGTGTTCCTTTAAGCAAATTAAAGGACATTTCTGGTCACCATAACAACTTCACCTAAATGAAAATGCTATGATGCCAGGAAGCCCCTGGGTGCTCGCTTTCCTTTAAGGGGTTAAATCGCTCTCAAATGGTTTAACCCCAAAGGCTTCCTCCAGCTCCAGGTCGCTCAGTGGTATTTGGCTTCTGAAACAGAGTGTCAGGAAGTGCAGATTGACGTCAGGCATGGGTGCCGCTGATTGGCTAGAGTGGTCAGTTGACGCTCTAAGCCAATCGCTAGTTCCCGGTTCATAAAATATTTTTACTTTTTTATGAATGGGGAGCTACTGATTGGCTTAGAGTGCCAGCTGACCGCTCTAGCCAATCAGCAACACCCCTACCCAACGGCACTCTGTGCTTCCTGACACTCAGTAAATAAAAGTGAACACATTAACACCGATATTTTTTTACCTTTGGAGATGAGTAGGTCCAGCGTTTCCCTGCCAGGCCCAGGTACCAAAGCCTTATGATGTGGTGTCCAGAATAAAGTGGAGGGTTCACTTCATTTGTCCTTCCTGCTCCAATCTCCTTTTCCTCTCCTTCATTTGACAGTCTTTTTTTTTCTTCTGACACTGTTTTCTATCCTTGGCCCCTTCTGCTCTTTTACCTTTCTGCTTATTTTGCGCCCTTCTGCTCCTTTCTCATTCTGATCCCTTTCTGCTCCTTGCAGACCCTTTCTGCTCCCTTTTCTACTTTACCTTTGTGCTCCTTGCTGTCCCTTTCTGCTCTTTCTCCTACTTTACCTTTGTGGTCCTCCTGATTCTTTCTGCTCCTTTACCTTTGGGCTCCTTGCTATCCCTTTGTGCTCCTTCCTGCTCCTTGCAGGCCCTTCCTGCTCATTCTCCTACTTTATGTCTGTGCTCCTTCTGCCCCTTGCAGCTCATTTCTGACCCTTTCTGCTCCTTCCTGCTCCTTGCAGGCCCTTCCTGCTCATTCTCCTACTTTATGTTTGTGCTCCTTCTGCCCCTTCCAGCTCATTTCTGACCCTTTCTGCTCCTTCTACTTTACCTTTGTGCTGCTTTACCTTCCAGCTCCTTGCTGACCCTTCCTGTTCATTTCTATATATCTATAGTACTGCCCTGCAAATCTAGGCTGCTGCCCCAAAATCTATGGGCTGCTGCCCCCAAATCTATGGGCTGCTGCCCCTCCCCAAATCTATGGGCTGCTGCCCTCCCACCCCAAATCACAGGCTGCTGCCCCAAATCTATAGGCCTGCGGCCTCAAATCTATAGGCTGCTGCCCCTCCCCAAATCTATGGGCTGCTGCCCCCAAATCTATGGGCTGCTGCCCCAAATCCTAAGGCTGCTGCCCCCAAATCATGGGCTGCTGCCCCCCTAAATCTATGGACTGCTGCCCCCAAATCTATAGGCTGCTGCCCCCCTCCCCAAATCTATGGGCTGCATCTTATCCCTGCTTCCTATCCCTGTCTCTCTCTGCTCTTTCTCCTACTTTACCTTTGTGGTCCTCCTGATTCTTTCTGCTCCTTTACCTTTGTGCTCCTTGCTATCCCTTTGTGCTCCTTCCTGCTCCTTGCAGGCCCTTCCTGCTCATTCTCCTACTTTATGTTTGTGCTCCTTCTGCCCCTTCCAGCTCATTTCTGACCCTTTCTGCTCCTTGCAGGCCCTTCCTGCTCATTCTCCTACTTTATGTTTGTGCTCCTTCTGCCCCTTCCAGCTCATTTCTGACCCTTTCTGCTCCTTCTACTTTACCTTTGTGCTGCTTTACCTTCCAGCTCCTTGCTGACCCTTCCTGTTCATTTCTATATATCTATAGGCTGC